CTGTGACTGGTGTCAAACCTGGAGATGTTAAAGTGAGCGGCATTAGGTGGCTTTTATTCTGCCAGCACCACACAATCCACCCCCTCAGGCCGATCCCAGGTACCAGACAACATGGGTCAGTGGCCTGCAGCAGGCTGACCAAAAGGATTAACTCCAGAGGTGCCTTTCACTTAATTGACAATTGCTTCTTTCTACTCAGCTGAGAATCAAAACCGCACATGGCTTCAAACGGTTCCCAGGCCCGGTGGTGGAGTGCTACCGGAAAGTTCCATGCAGGTCGGCCCTTCCATGAGAGCTTGGGGAGGGTTTCCTGGTGGCTTCAGGTGGCTGTTGAAAAGTGCTCTCCTCCTGAGGGGACCATGATATCCAGCTTCAAGGTCAAAATTAAGACTTAAAGTCAGGTGTTTGGAGGACATTTCATGGCTTTGATGTCTCCCTGGGGCACCCATCCCAAACCTGTGTTGACCTTGGCCTATGGCGCTACCTCGCAGGCCCACACACCGGGAAAGTGCTCAGCTGGACTCACAGTACGAGGACCAATGGCCTGGTAACTCCTGTGTGAGCAGGACAGCGGCTGCCAGGCACAGGCTGCCCACACAGGCCTCTCTGCCTGCCTCTCTTCAAAGTCCACAGAGACCAGTTTCTCTCAAAAGATCCAGTTGATGAAGCAGATTAAAAAAAAAAAAAAAAAAACAACTTCTGAAAGCAGGAAGTAGATGTTTTGCCCATAAATCTCTAAAAGTTCATGGTGAGGCCTGATGGCACTTGGGAGCTTGAAAACGCAAACCAGCAGGCAAGGGACCCGGAGAGATGACTGAGACAGGCCCGAGGGGGCCCGCCTGAGGGGTCTGCACTGACAGGCAGGGGTCTCTGCCGCAGCCTGACCTTAAGGGTGCCCATCCACCTCCAGAGCCTCTCGTTCCTGACCAGCCCCAGGAGGCCCGCCGCCCCCCAGGCCCACGGCGCACATGCGAAGGTGGGTAATGCTGGGTAGACACCGCTGGCCTGTCTCAAGGGGGAACACCAGACTCCCACATGGCAGTATGATGAAGCAAAGACAGTGTTTCTTACTCTCATTCTTCAAAGTCCTGCAGGAGACAACATACTCTCTCCAAGCATTTAGTGAGCAGCTCGCATGTTTGCCTCACCAAGTGAAATATGTATTCTCAATGACGGAAGCATGATAAGAAAAGCCGACCAAGATTTCAAAGATTCAAAAACACCCCAGTGCTTGTTAGGAAGCGGGAGGCGAGGTGAGGCCATCAGGTCTGTTTCTGCAGAGTGAGCGCGGCAGGGGCGGGAGGAGGCCAGGCTCTGGCCGGGAGTCTGCCGGGAGGGGGAGAGGCCAGGGCTGAGGCTGTGTATCCGTACTATAATATAGAGATTAAAAAATGCCAAAGGGAAAGAAAGAAAGGAGAGCACACAGCTGCCGTCCCCCAAACAGACCTCCCATCTGCCACCCACGATTTGCATGTCACCTTCTCCGGGCTCATTTGTACTTCATTAACTGCCATTGACTTAACAAGATTTATGCAAATGACACCATAGGAGCTCCCTAACTCCCACTGCAATCAAGTGATTATGTATGTACAACTCTCCACAGCAATGAAAAATTAATACGTGACAAGCCCACTCGCCGCTGAGCCGGGCCTCTGGCTTTTTTTTATTTTTCTTGCTTTGCTTTTTAATTTTTATTCGAACAGACCTTATCTTATTAGTTTAAAAAAAAAAAAAAGAAGAAAAAATAGAACCCTCTGACCCAATTCTCCTCTAAGGTCCCAGAAAGGACAAAAAAAGAAATGGGTGCAGGTCCGAAAAATGAAATTATTTTGCAGAAAATCAGTCATACTCTTGATGAGGAATCTTTAACTGGGGGGAAAGGAGAAGAGATGAAATCCTTGTCTAGCATGCTCCAGCTAGCTCCCACACTGGGGGAAGAGGCCTCTATTCTCAAAATGAACGAGCTGCAGAATGTGAGCAAAGTGTGGTTAAAATAATCCGCTGGAACACAATCTGGACAAATGCGAGTCTAGTGGCAGAGCGTGGTGAAGACCACCTTGCTCGTACCCTAAACCAGCTGCTACAAGATTCCTGTATGGAGTGGGAAGAAAGAGTTTGCAATGATCAAAAATACTGGCTGGTCCTAAACCCGTCACCATCACCAGCCCCATGGGGATCGCTGAGATTCCAGGATGGTTTCTTTGCCATGGGGTGACTGGCCTAGAAACTGGGATATGGGGCTCCCATGCCCAGACCAAGTCTTGAACGTGGCTGTGTGGCAAGGCCAAGGGCCTGCACTGGGGAGAAGGGTGGGGTAGCAAATGAAACCATGGCAGGGCAAAGGGAGACCTTCCACGCCTGGAGCATGTGAGAGTGGTGGTGTGGTCCCCAGACAAATGTGGGGACCGTCTTAGAAGTTTCTTCTACATAGGCGGAAGGTATCTGTCTGAGGTCAGGGCTCACCTGTTTTACTTAAAACACATAACTTTGCTTTCTGAGCTTTCCGAAGGCTCTCCCCCAACCAGCCGTGGAGAAAGCACAGGCACTGGGGCGAGGGGCTGGTGTCTGGATCCTGGCCCCATCACTTCCCTAAGTGGCTTGGTCGGGAGTGCTCGCACTGCCCGGGGTTTCATTTAAAGCAAGGATAGTACAGCTACACCTGTCGCGGTGTGGGGGGTTCAAGGGGACACTATATGAGCACTTAACCAATATTAAGGACTCATCTAACTGTTCGTTCCCTTGACAAGAGATCTGGAGAGCATCTAGAAAGAACATGCCAGCACCTGGCTCCTTCCTCTGCAGTCTTGCTCCTCATTTCCGCTGGCTGAAGTCACTGTGCGGGAAGGGTTAGGAATTCAGAGGGTCTCTAATGATCTCGGATCCTTTACAAACACAGCACACACAGGCATGTGAGATAAATCTGTAGGACCGGCTATAAACCCACATCAGTCCCCGTGACCCAAAGACAGGCTCCAACAAAGGTGCCCTGAGCATGACTAACTGGAAAATCCTGTTTTGCTGGAATTTTAAAAAATTCTCTCTGAAATCTCCACATCCCAGTGTTTCAAGGGGCTCTGATTATCATCCAAGGCCCATTTCACAGATGAGGAATCTGAGGACTGGAAGCTTCTGCCACAGGGGGACTCTGATCTGACAGGTGTGTACTTCTAGGAAGGAGCTGTCCTGGCAGCCATGAGGGACAAGGATCTCAGCACGCTCTTGAACCATGACTCACTGGGAAATCAGACCATGATTTAGATTTCGACGACATTATTTAGAACATTCACAACTGAAAGGCTTCCAAAGACTGGATAATACTCATTTTACGCTTGGTGGTCAACTCCAATCGGCACACAGATTGAAAACCTCGTCTGTATGGCGGGCCCCCTCTGCAGATGAGCAGGGTACAAACTGAGTGAAGGTTCCAATTACGCCAGGGGCCTGCCCAGCCCGTGTGGAGGGCGGCATCCCCCAACAGACAAGAAGCATGAATCAAGGAAATGGTCGAGAATCAAGTTTTAATATTCCCAAAAGGAAAAGTCCCAGGACCCATTTTTTAAATGAGAGAAAAGGAGTTAAGTGATATGAAAAGGAGTTTCATAATCCTACTTGGAACAAAATCAACAGAAAAATCACGCATTAAAATCACCTCCTGTAGACGGCTCAGTGTCTAAATAAAAGCATATAAAGAAAAGAATGAGCAACGACGTGTGTGGACCTCGACAGTAACAAAACCATTTTAGAGCGTGAAGACACTGCCCGCCAGCAAAGGGGAGGGAAGAGGATTTTTCTCAATGGTGCCGGGAGCCTGACCACACATTCGTGGCCTGGGAACTGAATGTTCCCAGAGTCCCTGCTCAGCCCCTATCCGACCTGTTTCCACCCGTCCGCGCGGAGGCCGCCCGGCCGCCAGCTAACGCGGCCTTCCTGCTTGTTTCAGACGGTAAAGTTGCATTTGTGCACCGACTTCTGCCCTCTGGAGGGGCGGCCGGAGCCGACCGGAGTTGCGGAGGGCACAGGAAATGGGGTGCGCGTGGAAGAGGCTGGCAAAGAGCAATCCCCCAGAGGAACAAAGTGGTTACAGCCATGTTCGTAAGAGGAAGAGCTATTACCCTGCCTGCAGATTTTTTTCCCCCTCTCTCAAGCAGAATGCACTCTAAATCAATTGGACTTCTTTCACAAAGTAAAAGATGCTATTACCAGGAGCCACAGTGCTGGGTCGAAGTCTTTATTTTTATTTTCTCTGGAACTATAATAGCAAAATATGTCACGTGAACTTCCATTTTACTTGAGACATAAAGTAATTTGGTACCCGGTTTCTGGGCTAATGAAAACCTATTCCAGGCTAGCGACATAGGCCAAAACAAATGCTTGAATTCAAGTCCTGTTGTGTAATGAGGAAGTTTAATTAAGGCCCCACATTACAGCTGTAAATGTTCCTTTATATAATAAGGTCTAAATGAAACTGAACCTAATCAAAGTTACAATTCCTTCATTAGCAAATTACAAACAAGAGCGCGCAGCTGACACACCGGCTATGATTATCACAACTAATTGCCTCGTTGTTACAAACCAGCCTGAAACAGTGTTCAGATGTCCGTCTGCGAGAGCAAATTAGGGCCACATCGGGCTATTCCTGTGATCACAAGGGGCTCTTGTACGGCGATCTGATTTACCCCTGTCGACTGGCGGCCCGCGGCCCAATCAAAGCCGAGCTACAAAGGCAGCCTTTGAAGCCAGCTCAGCCTCGAAACACACTCCATATGCAGCGGGCAGACTGCACTTCATTAGATCTGTTGTCACATTTTTCCCTCTTCTTATTCTAATGATCCTATTTTAATACACACAGGAACCTCTTCTAATTGATGTCAAGTGAGTGACTTCTACATTCATCAACAGAGCACATCAAACAAACCTTGGCGCACGAGCTGGCATCATAGCAAGGAGAGGCGAGGTGTGTCTCCAGCTCCAGGAAGGGAAAAAAGGGGGAAGCGGCGTACCTGTTTAATTGGGATGGCTCGACCGCTCCCGATGCTGTCCGCGCGGCTCTCCAGGCCTTTTTTCTCTTTGTCTGGGTCACTCCCTTTCCGAGACTGCAAAGCAAAAATAAAGTTAGCATCTGGGTAAGGGCTGTGGCTCGCGGATCTGCAGGCCTGCCCTTCCCCGGACGGTTTCTTCGCTCTCGCACCCAGAAGCCATGGACAACGCAGGCGCAAGCACACACAAGCCCAAGAAGCGGGCTGTTGAATACTTTGCTCCCACCAACCCATTATTTTACAGAGAATTCTCCAAACTTTGCCCCCTACTTTTCCTCCGCAAAATTCCCTTTTAATTCTTTTAGACAGAGCTCAAAATTCAATCAGTAGAAACCAACGGACCGTATAGGAAAGTAACGCCCAACAGGAAAGTGCTTTCTGGGGCTGCAGCTAATCCAGCCAAAGAGAAAAGGCCTCCTTGCGGCTTGTTGGGGGAACCTACCACATGAATGTGTATGTTGAGTTAATGTCTGAAGGAGGATTTTGAAATTCTACGAACGACGGAGCGGAGCAATTTAATAGTGCACTCTTCATTCATATCAAGGTGCCGTGAACTTTTTTTTTTTTTTTTTAACTGCTTCTGGACAGTTAGAAAGCAGCAAAGTCTAACTACTGTTACCACACCACACCACAAAAAATAACAAAGGGGAAACAAAGTTGAAGACCTCTTTTTTGACAACACATCAGTGCTTGGGGAAAAATGAGCAGCTCTATCTGCTAAGTTTGCAGAACTGTCTCCTGGGCGGCATTGTTGACACCGTGTGACCTGCTTGGGAGTGGGCAGGTGGCCCCGTGCCACTCAGGGAAGCCACAACCCTGAGCGCAGGCGACTTCGGGAAGTGGAAGGAGCACCACAGCTCAGTCTCCATCTCCGGATGGCATGAGGAAGTGTGAGCACAATGATTTTCTGACAGATTTATTTTATTATGAGAGAAAGATCTGAAACTCGTCCTCCTTAATAACTGTGCTGACAAGTGACAACTTCACTCCATTACTTTTCAATGGGAACATTACTCACGCAATATTGAAAATGGAGAAATATTTTCATGTGCTTTTCAAATCTGAGATGATATATGAAATGAACAGACTTCGTGGTGTCCGGTGCTGCAGCGAAGAGCTAATGAAATCCAGTTTCAAAGGGGTGTGAGAGCAGCCAGGTTTTTTTCTAATATTAAAAGGGGCAGTGTTACCGGGTGTGAGAAAACTCCCTAGGATGTAAACTCAGATGTGGCACTTTGAAGAGCATGTGTGCTCATTAGGAAACAGGCCCCTTTGATGACTGTGGAAGCCGACATTTACTGAACACCTACTATGTGCTAGGCACTGTGTGTTTTTTTTCTTTAAGGTGGTAGAAAAGCCTGGAATGAGGTAACGGGAAGTGAAAAAGCAACAAACTGAAAGTTGCAGAAAAACGTAAGACAAAGTTTGTCCATTTGGGCTGGGAGGAAATAGGAAATACTGATTCCTTGTCATGAATTTCAGCTATAGGCTAGGGGCTCACTTTTCTCTTTAATTAATTCTTTAATTAGTAATGTTCAGTTAAAGCTATGAAATGGCTCTCAAGTCTCCTTTTGCTGTATCTTAGTGCACAGGCAGGTTGGCACTTGAGGTTTCCATTTGTAAAAGATTTAAAGCTCCTGATGATAATATTTTAAAAAATATATATTTTTTTAAATCAACAGAGCTCATTAATGGGACTCTGGGGTTTGATGAATTCTAAATTTCCAAATTTGAAAATCCACCTTCATTATTCTCTATTAACCAGAATAATTAACAAAACAAACATAAAAAAAAATTAACATCTTCCTCAAAGCAGCACATCTGCCCCCCTAGTCCCTCTGTGCTCCAAGCCGGATGCCCAGATTTCAGGGGAGCAGGCTGCCAGAGAACCCATCTCTGTCCGATCACACACGCTGCTATGAATGACCCCGGAAGTTAGGAAGACTTCACCACCAAAGTGGCACAGAGATTCGCGATGACTCTAAGGCTCTGACCAGCTGCTGGGCAGAAGGGTCTGCTGCAGCCCCGCCCCACGATTACTTCCCCCTGCCCCAGGCTGCGTGGCTGCTAAAGCAACGGGCACCCAACAACTGTGCGGAGACAGACCCCTGGGCACGCAAGCATCTGCAGGGAGCTCTCCCGAGTCTTCTGCTGGCCCAGAGACTGTATGGCCACAGCACACGCTTCTGCTTGCGCTGAAACCGCTCCGTGAAATCCTCCCATACAAAGAGGCTCTGGGCACCAGCTGCGCGTATCACAAGTAACAGTGTGCAGGGACCAGCCAGACACGCACAACGGGAAGCTAACAAGGGTCGACCATGCTCGGCACAGGGGTCAGCGGTGAGCCCTTGGAGAGACCGTCACCCTTGCCAGCCCCGAATGTGAAGAAAGAAAGGCTAAATATAGTCTCGTCATCACCTCCTTCTTTACACAAATGTTTACCTTTCCTCATGTGACGCAAGAAGCCACAGAGGGACACCCCATCAACTACCTGCGTCCAGGGACAGGAAGCAATGCTGCCAGGAGCCCGCGCTATCACACAGAAGCCTGCTTTCCCCCTTCAACCCACAGTGAGACTCTGACTAGCACACACTGTGACAGGACCCACGGTCCCCTCCACAGCAGACAAAACACACATGCTGCTATTCGCACCATCAACTTCACTGCCCCGTTTTTACAGTGGGTTTCTAGGGATCTTTTCACAGTGTGCTTCCTGGGTATGCTGGGCACCATTTACTGGTGTCCGCGGGCAGGATGGGGAGCTTTTAGAAGGATCATGTAAGGACACCATTATTTTAAAGTATGAAAAGCAGCAAGGCAGTGTCAGTGATGGACATGTACTAGAGTGAATTTAAGATGTGCAGATGGATGATAAACACCAAATTCAAGATGATGCTGATCCTCCAGCAGGGAGCTGGGCAGGTGTATATCTAGGAGGCACACCTGCAGGGCTTCAACTTTTACCCAAGATGTGCTATTTCTTAAAGTCGTGGCAGGCGCGGCAAAATGTGTGCGTTTGATGAGCCCCATGTAAGTACGTGCCTATGTTTTTTTTATTCCTGTCTCTGCATAAAAATATTTTCTAATAAAACATTTTAACCACATGTACATTAGGACAACTACACTAAATTAATTGTCCTAAGAACCCACTTTGGTTTCGGTTACAAAACCAAAAATGGAATGGACATAGCCTTTTAAAATTTTTCTCAAAACAATGATTTTTTTCAAAGAAAAGAGCAAACAAAATAAGATATAACTAAGCTTTTGATTAATTCCTACTACAAATATAACAATTTGCTACCAGGGGAGCAATCTGAAATTTACTATAATTTGTTAAGAGTGCATATGATTTTTGTCTAAAAACGCATGTATATGCAAATAAACATCTGGGAACTGCAAAATGTGAGCCCAGAGTGGTACATTACAGGTCTACTTTATAAAATTTATAAGCATGGTATTTGAAAAATGATGTGTGTACTACTTAATTAACTCTGGCCTCTTTATGACGGTCTAATAAATAAGGTGGATAGCACTCCTCCATCTAGGTGGTACAGCCGCAGTCTGCGTGGAATTTTACTCACTAAGATTGTTCGGCCGAGGGCACATGTGTCCTCCTACTAGATGCTTTTGAATAAATACACATTTCCCCAATTAAAGGCAATAATTACCAACAACTTCCAGGGATGAAGAGTCTATGAATTTTACATATTTAAGAGTAGATGTAAACTGGTAATAACGAGAATTTAGTTTCTTAATTGCTACAATTTCAAAACTAATTTGCCTCTTCTCATTCCTTGGATGACACTGACATCTAGTGGAGTTCCTATTTCTAAGATCTTGAACTTAAAAATACCCACAAGTCACCATCACCACCACCACCACTGTTTTGTTCAACATCAACACCTGGGTCACACCCTGGGATTTTAACCTTTTTCCTTAAATGCCATGGTGTAAATCCACTGCAGTATTTGCTTCCTTCATAACCCCAAATTTCTACTGCCTTTAAGAATTGCTGCACGGCTGGACTCAATTACTAAAATGGTTTACTCTCCAGCTGTTTTCCAACATTGAAAGGGAAAGAGAGTAAGGAGTGATCATGTACAGGTTCACAGGGAGGCTTTTCCACTATTAGACACATTAATTACGACATAATTAATGGAGATTTTCAGTAACCGTAAGGATGAGTTTTTATTGGCTCCGCACCCGCCCAGCCCAGTCTGGGCTGCTGGGGGCCCTCGCCTCTTCTTGGATACCTGCACGCTGCATGTACACTCGTGCTTGGCCTGGAGAAGGAGGGGAAGGCCTTATGCCTCTCTTCTGTTCTCCTCCGGCCCCTCCTTCTTCTCCAAAAACACTGTCTTGAATGTGGGTTGACTCTGGCAAGAAATATTCCTGACAGACAAGAAAACCAGTCTCCGCAGACAGTAGTGGGGAAGGAAGTATTTATTAACAGAGTTCTTAATATTTTTGATTCTTCTTACCTTAAAGTTTCTCCTTTGTATGCAACCTGGATTGTCATGGTTACCTAGTGGGCAGGGTCCAGGATAATGTTTTCTGACACATTCCAATTCCAGAGCCACTCTTTAAAGAGTAGGAATGGGTATATGCTACAGCTGTCTTTCCAAACAGCCCTATTTTTAAAGAGACTTCCTGGCTTCTCCCTCTTCCTTAGAATGGAAACCAAAGCTGATGACCAGTACATGCAGCCCCTGGAAAGTGTGGTGAGCCTGCATGTTCTTTCTCCCCCGGCCTGGGTGTTGCCAAGTGCTGCCAGTGTTGGGTGCACTGGGAACTGCTGTTAATTCTTGGTGTGTGAAACATTTCACAAGAAAGCCTCTTATATCACAGAGGAGTTTATAACCAAATCAGGCATTCCCCTGCATCTTGTAGAAGGCTGAACACCTCCCTCCCAGTGGGTCACACAGTCCTACAACTGTTTTTGCTTATTAGCACTGTCATAATTCTTTTCACAGCTGCAAGGGTGGAGACACAAAATTGAAATCCATGCCACTAAGACCCCTCACCCCACTGGAGATTCTTCCAGCAGCACGACTCACAGAGAATGTTGCCATTTCCGGCCCAGGAAGGCTAAGCAGGGACCCCAGGAGGCTGGGGTCTGGGTCTGGTCTGTCTGCTCCTTACCCTGCACTCACAGCAACAGCGTCCATCAGAACTGACGTGGCAGAGGGTAAGCAGCAAAGGAAAGGGGACGGTCTGTCGGCAGCAGATCTTGGCAAGTACAACTCTCCAATAGGAAGACTGCCTCAAACGTGGTAGGAAAGGCATGGGTGTCTACCAGGCTTGGCAGCTGCATGCAACATCAGAAATGCTGTCTCTGAATAAGGCAACAGGTCAGCTAGGCTCCCAGCCACCCCTGCAGAGCCCCGCTTAGTTCAAGACACGAAATCCTGGACTCATCTGCATCTAACTCAGCGGTAATCACCCAAAAGGAGAAGTCCAATGGTTTAAAACAGGGCACCACATAACTCTGTGCTGTACTGCTGACCTGGGCTTGTACGATACTTAGCAGCAACCTCAGGTGCTACCCATGACTCCACCTGGCTACCAGTTGTAACAATTCAGAATTCCTCCAGAAACTGCCAGGTGTCCCCAGGGAGCAAAAGCACTGGTTGAAAGGATGTACTTATGATGCACACTCCTGGTCTCAGGAGGGAAAACGTTTTTCTGAGGTCAAACGACTCCAGTCACAAGCCAGCAGTTCTGCCTGCAGCTCTAGGCTCAGCTGCAGAGCCTCTCATGATTGACTGGTTATGTCTGCTGGGTACACAGGAAGGGATGTGGTGGGAGTGCTTTTGCCTCCTCGCTAGTTTAGGGATTTTCTCTGTGTCCCCATTGCCCAAGGGAGCTTTTAAAAACTGCACATGCCTGGGGCCCACCTACAGATTCTGAGTTCATAAACCTAAGCCCATGGAGATGATCCTCAGATTTAAAATGCTCCACAAATGACTCTAAAGAAAAGTCCAATGGAGAGCCTCCTGTCGAGGAGCCTCTGAGAAACACTGAAGCCTCCTGGTGATGAAGCCACCCCCACCCCCTCATCCCCATGATAAATCCTCAGAAGCCCCAGCCCGAGAAGGGAGGGTTCCGTACACCGAAGTCGCTGATGCATCCCACAGGGAAGGCTAGAGGCCCACGTCTGGGGATTCTGGCACAGTTTTGTCATCTCATACCCAGAGTGACAAGTCTGTCGCTAGAGACCAGGACAACCACGAGATAATAAATACCTTCGTACAGCCCCTCACTCTTCATTTTGACACATGTATCTGAACTCCTTGCACACAGAGAAATTCACATTTTCCACAGTGCCCAAACCCTTGCTTCTTGTAATTTTGTTAGACCTCCAAAGAAATCAGTGCTAGTCTCGTTAACTGAGTCTGGATTCTACAAGTAACACTAAACCATCCAGCAACTAATTGATGCATAGTGATTGAAGTTCTTCACTCAAGCTTCTGGGGCAGACACTCACGGTGAAGAGATTGGAGCGGCGCTTGGACTGCTTCCGGACAGGTGTTGGTGTATTGGCAGTGGGAGGGACATCGATTCGCAGTTCCTTCTGGCTGGTGCTTGGCGTTGACGGGACGGAGGAGGAGTAGTCGCTTAAGCTCCCGCCTCCGTTACTTGTCTGAAACAATGGAAAACAAAGGTTTTACTAATGACATGCTCCAGGAACCTAATGTCACCACCTTTGCAGGGTCGTAAGCCACAAGTTAGTAAGCTACACTGAAGAGAAGCCTGCATGACAGGTGGGGTAGCTGCTCTGACTCAGCTAGTTGATTAGCATCGAGTAGAACATGGCCTTGTTGTAGACTATACCAATCATCTCATAAAGTACTTTTTCCTAAGAAGAGTGACTTGAGAAAGAGAGGTCTCTGTTATTTGAGTCGAAAATGGGAAGGGGGATTAAAATGTAATTATCTTCTATTTCCTTTGAAAGATGCAGGGGTTGGCTGAACTAAATGGGCCCTAAGACTCCATGGCTCTAGACCAGATGCAGAAAAAATGCGGTTTGTCTTGACAGAACCCAATGCACACTCTGAAAATCCAAATACTTTCAAAGACATTTAAAGATTCACAGAAAATGAGATGCCTACAGTGGAGACATCCACATCCTTGAGTCTACCTTCATAGGCCCCTACCGTAAATCCATCACTTACTGACTTCCTCAAGGAAAATGGAAGTGGCATGCCAAACCCTCTCGCTGTAGCCTTTTAAAAAAGTCCAAATATAACACATGCCCAAGAAATATTAGTTAAAAACACACACAGGCAAACCAAGTCAATGGTTTCCTTAGCAGACTATGGATTTGGTTCTTCAAAGTGAAAATTGCTTTGTTTGCTTCCAAGTAATTAATCTGCCAGAATGTTACTCTGGAATGATGTAACCAAGGGAGATGGTAATTATAGTTGAGGTGTGCTACCAAATTTAAGCATATGGTGGGATTAGCCACTGAGGTTTACCCAAAATTGTTCAACCCATGAGCAGACCAGAACCAGGACCAACGCAGGGTAATTTAAATCAAAAGCAAAGAGCGCAACGCACACCTGGAGCCTCTGCCCATACCAGCATGCCTCACAACATAGGCAGCACGAAGATGGAAACACTGAAGAATGATTCCCATAAAATCCACTTGGCCACAGCAGTTTCTCAAGGAAATGTACAGTCAATTACCAACATGCTGTTATTTATAAAGTGGAAAAGGAAAAATAAAAGACATCCAGCTCAGAACTGGCTAAGAGTACCCTTGGGACTGGCCCGCTCCCTGGTTCTGCTGTGCCTTTCCACCCCACATACCTGGCTTATGTGCACAGCGGACACCTGTGCCGAACAGACGGACGAATGGCTGGGGGAGTTGGGCAGCGACTTGCAGGGCCCGATGGACAGCTGCTGCTTCTTCCTCGTGGCCACAATCTTCTGGGCAACTAGTGGATGGGAGACAAGAGGAATTCATGTGAGGCTGGTTTCCAAATACAGGGAATGTGGCAGAGACCACCAGCTGTCCCCACGATCCACTACTTCCTTCCTCTGCAGTAACAGAGCTCCCACCTCTGGGCTGGGCACAGGACCACTAGACTAAAGATAGCATTTCCCAGAGCCTCCTCCTCCTTGTTCTCCTGCAACCTGGCTAAGTGCAGCCACATAGGCAAGCGCTGGCCGGGGGGATGACCATCGAGAGGGCTCATGCAGCAGCTTCCAGGAATTTTCCTTGAGAGGGCTGCCCTTGGCCCATTTCTTCCTTCCACCTTTTCCTTTCTTGCTGCTGAAAATGTACAGATATAAGCTGTAGCCTCTGCAGCCATATTAGGGACAGAGGCACACGTAGTGGGGCACAAGACAGAAGGAGCTGGCCCTCCGGCTCCAGCCTCAGTAGCCCTGCCCAGACCACCTCAGCAGCCTTGACCATCAAACAAAACAATAAAAAATGCACACCTGTCCTGTTCAAATTATTCTAATGTTATGATTTTTTTCCTGTTACTTGCAGCAAAAATAATCCTAAATGAGACAAGGTAATTTAACTAACCTCTCCCCCTTGAAAATCAAAAATCTATTTTTTGCATAGCCTAAAGAATCACTCTTAACTTTATAAGCTACTGCATAGAATTATAGCCAAGGACATGTAATTATATCAAAGACTTTATTTAAATACATTACTACACACATTGGAAGTTTATCTTAATCAATACAAATCTAAATTCAACCAGCCATAACTTCTCTTGGCAAATGGGCTCGCTGATAAAGCGTGCTGCCTTTAATTGGAAAGGAAGTCCACAATAAGAAAACTCTTCCCACACCAATAGGTGTCACTGCAGAAGAACTGCAGCTTTTGTTTGAATAGAGGTGTGTCTTTGGGGACAAGCTGTAATGAAGTTCAATGGTGTTCAATCCTTGTCTCAGTCCCGAGAGCTGCTATTTTTAAAGATGCCTGTGCCAAGGAACACACCGTCATCCCCAGCGATAGGCTGTTAACACTAAAGGAGCACACACAGCGTCCATGGTTTCTTTTCCAAATGAACAAAATTTTAATAGGGAACTGCTTTGTCCACAGCTTATGGCTTTCCTATAAATGAATGATCGTGTAAATATGATGAAGCGAAAATGCAGGGTGTAAAAAATGGCTCTCAGAGATGAAGCAGCAGCTTCATTAGTTACATCCCGCCTCCAATGGGCCTCTTATCCCGAAAGGATGATATCAATTAATTTATCTTCCCGCAGTGTATTGATCACAAGCTTCATCAGCTAATCATGTTTAAATTACAGAGGAATATCGCAGCATTCTGTCATTTCAAAACCATTGGCGTATCGATCTGGGGTCTTTGAAGACGTATATCAGAACATTTTAAAAATCATTACGTGAACTCAGAAATAAAATCTAAGCTCAGCTTCCAAAAGCTGCAAAACATAGGTCATGCAGGTGAAGTGAAATCCAAAGACTAAAAGTCACGACTGTCAGGGTGACTGCCAATGTACTTTTTTTTTTTTTTTTTTCTGAGGAGGTAGCGAAAGGGGGTTTTGATGAGCAGTGCAGAGGCATTTTTGTTTTACTACCAGCCTCAGAGCCGCTATACCACAGGATGACCACGCAGGCTAGAATCTTCAAGCTTGCAGAGAGCAAGCACGCGGAGCCCAAACGGAATGCAGCTAGGCTGTCCAGAGAGCTCTGTAAGTGTTTTCTATAGTTTTCTACATGAAGGGAAGATCTGAGAAACTTTCCAAGACAAGCCAAATGTGTTATAAATTCCTCATTTTGGGGTGCCTGGATGGCTCAGTCAGTTAAGTGTCTGCCTTTGACTCAGGTCATGATCTCAGGGTCCTGGGATCAAGCCCTGCATCAGGCTCTTTGCTCAGCGGGGAGCCTGCTTCCCCCCTCTCTCTCTGCCTGCCTCTCTGCCTACTTGAGATCTCTCTGTGTCAAATAAATAAAATCTTTTTTTTTAAAGATTTTTTTTTAATTTATTTGACAGACAGATCACAAGTAGGCAGAGAGGCAGGCAGAGAGAGATAGGAGGAGGAGGCAGGCTCCCTGCTGAGCAGAGAGCCCGATGTGGGACTCGATCCCAGGACCCTA